TTTGGCTTCTTGAGTTCTGTGGCTCCTTCCTCCTGTTAGGCTCGAACTGCTTTCAGGCCCCGTTCTGGTATGGCACTGTGTGTTAATGCGCCAGACTGCAAAGCCGTTTGAACTGCAAGGTTGGTGGTTCAAGCTCACCAGCTGCTCCTTGGAAACCCTATACAGGGTCGCTGTGGGTCAGAATCAACTCAACGGCACTTGACAACAACAACCTTCTAATAAGAGTCTATTGAATATATTCCTTCTTCATTTGTGGACATCTCTGGGTTATCAGTATTAACATACGGTGATGACTCTGCACTGTGATCTTAAGTGTAAATATTGCCTTGTGTCCTCACTAAATATCTTTCAGCTATTCTGCTTATTGTCAGGGTATGAGTTAATAACCCTTTTCATGTAGATGAGTAGCTCCTTTTTCTATCGCTTACTAGCTACACCCAATCTGCTTTGAGCTTTGAAACCAAATTATATTGAATTCTTTGGAACTATGTGTAAAGCAAGACTAAACACTATCTCAGAGAAGGTCTCTTCTATAATGAAAGTGATTATTAATTAATTAACCTCTTATGAATAGTCTTTATTAGGCCTATATTCATTGCTTACAGCTCACTTTTTATTACTTCCTGGTTAGAGTAAGTTCAGGATAGGGGAGATTTTAAGAAAGTTAAATTGAAAACAAAAACATTGAAAAGAAAAATCGAAAATAAAATCCTCATCAGACCAAACTCTATTTTTAAAAATGCAAGATGCTTACGAGAACACATAACATTGAAGAGACGTAGAAACAACTAAGTGTGCATAGTTCAAAGATGCTTTAATGACTCTATCACGGAATTCCAGTAAATCCACTGCATCATTAAGAACATTACGAACCTAAACAAGGAAAAATGAAATTACCAAAAACCAACGTAAAAACGCTTCAAACCTTTAAACGGTATTTAGTTGGATAAGTTAGCAACATTTTAAAACATACAAAAATTCAATACACTTTTGATTAGTTAGCCATATAAAAACAATTCAATAGGAACAAGGCATGTGATGGTATATTTGGTTATGAAAATCAACCAACGAAAATGCAGATACAGAAATTTCTTAGAAATAACAATGACATCTCAATGCACCTTATTCAGAAAAATACTATAATGTGATGTAGTCAAAGGAGTATGACATATAGGATTTGAAAAGAGACTGTGTGATTTCTGCCCTCATTAGTAAGAATATCTTCTTAGAGTGGATTTTAATTTATAAAGAGATATAATGACCTTAAAAGTTGAAAGTAGAACAAGAACTAACTATAGTAAAGAAATCAGTTGAATAGTGCAGAAGCCAAGCTATTCTGAGTGCAGTGTTTGCATATGCAAAACCACAGAGATAATATATAAGAAAGCTAAGCACCAACTAGCAAAGGGAGAGCTGCCTATGATAATCAAATCTGCTATCAAAGTTTATAATAAAATAAAGGATAGAATAATTTCAACACTTGGCAGTATAGACCCAAAATCTTGAAGTTGATGGATATTCTGCAACAAATTGAGAAAAATGTTGGGGAAGTTAAATTTATTCAAATTTTGGTCAATACAGAATGGACAGGGTATTACAGCAAGGAGAAAATTATAGGAAAATAAATTTAACTGTACTGGTTACGAGTCAGGCTGCCAATCTCAAGGTCAGCAGTTCGAAACTACCAGTGGTTCCACAGGAAAAAGATGAGGCAGTCTGCTCCCATAAAGATTTACAACCTCGGAGATCCTGTGCAGGGTCACTATGAGTCGGAACCAAATCCACGGTACTTAACAACAACAGCAAAAGTTAGTTTTTCTTTATATCCTTCTCAAATGTTACAATTATAGTATTAATGAAGAATGAAAGCACATGGAAAGAGAAAGATAGGAAGACAAAGCCAAACTTCACAAGTTTCAAATTTTTGTAAGCACTGACCCTATATTTTAAAAAAGAAACTTGTCTCTTACTTTTTCTAAATTTTAAACTGTGAAATAAACAAGGCTTTTGTACATTAAATTGACAATCTAGCCACTATTTAGTGCATCCAGAGGAATATGTTAAAACCAGATAAAAACATACTCTTAAGACTGTTATTGTTAAGTGCCTTTGAGTTGGTTCTGACTCATAGCGACCCTATATAGGGTTGCCAAAGAGCGGCTGGTGAGCTTGAACTGTTGACCTTGCAGTTCAAACCAACCTTGCAGTCCAGCACATTAGCCCACATTGCTACGCCAGTACTCTTATATGTTTAAAACTTCCTGTAAAATGTTTCATATTTGTCTCCTAATCAGTTTCTATGTATAACTGGTAATAATTCTACTCAGTGCACTAAGAGGCCAAAATTTTTGCCTGGAGAAACTAACATTTGAAGATTATTTTAAACATGTCATGGCATCTCTCAATTATAATGCTCTCAACTATAAAATGGAAATAAAAACAATACTTACCATAGACTCAAAGGCTTAAAGCTTTTGTGAAAATTAAATGGAATAAATTATATGCAAGTATCTGTACTTAGCACACAGTAGACACCAGGCAAATATCAGCTTTAAAATACCTTTAAGTAATACAAAATCCAAATTTAAGAATATAAAATCAGACAGGGAAAGTGGTCCATCTATAACACAAAAATTAGCAGTTTGATCTCTATTATTTCAGACCACTTGGTGGTAGTGGTGTTTATGTGTCACCGAGTCAGTTCTGACTCATAGTGACCCTGTATGGCATTTCCGAGGCTGTACTAGCCCTTAATATCCTGGAATCATATCCACAGCATTTACAGCTATCTAGAATACTTATTTTTACTATTAACAAGTTTTTATTATTTGCTATCCAACTCCTACCCCACAAAGGCATAGCAAAATTACATATATACTTATTTATTCTTTGGTTGAGCAACCTTACTTGTAAAATTCTATCACAAATACAAACTAGAAAAATTTTTAATGATATACGAACAAGGTTATTCACTGCAGTAAAAGCAAAAGACTGAGAATAGCCCAAATGTCCATTAATGGGAAGTATTTTAAACAAACTATGGTATATCCAGATAATAGGAATGAGGATGATAGATAGAGTGGTCTCCCATATATTTTACAAAATAAAAGCTGCAAGATGTAGCAAGGTATGCATAATATGATACCTTTTATCTAAGGAAGGAAATAATATGAAGATATATGGATTTGCTTATATGAGAGGGCTTTAAAAAGTTTGTGGAAAATTGAATTAAGAGATAATAGAATTTTTCCATGAACTCTGTGAAGCCCTATAGTAAAAAAAAGAAAACAAAACATCTTAAACAGTATTCAGTAATAATACTAGAAAAAGATTGACATTATTATTTTAAATGATATTTTAGAATAAAACAATATTGTCTTTAGGAATTATTTTTTTTTATAATAGAAAAGTGCTACAAAGAAAAAGCCAAGTGTAAAATCTCTGTAATCTGAATTTTTTCATTGAAAATCTCAGTAAGAACTCAAGGTACTTTTTATCAAAAATCAATACATTTTGCCTAGTAGTAATGATCAAACAAAAAGCAATGAACATCCATGTAACTCAGATTATAGTCTCCAAATAACATTTTCCTCCAAAAGGAACCACGTCTTCTTGAAATTATGGCTGATTCCAAGTCTGGGACAGGAAGTGTACAGGATAAGCCTGGAACATCTTGTCACATCAGAAAGCAAAAAAGCAATTGAAACCATGTCAAAAGAATACAGGAGCCAACTAGCCAAAGATAGGACAATCTGTGCAATAAAAAGAATAATGAATGCACGTCAAGATAATAAAATACATGAGTTCATAGTGATAACATTAACAACAACAAAAGAAATGCAATGGGTATGCTAGAAAACCAATTCATTGTTTAAAAACTGGTAAATAAAGAAAAATAAACAAACATTTGTCTCATCTCAGGGTATCCAAATGGTTGATGAGGCAAAATCTTCTTATAGAAGAATTTAAGCTAATAAATTCAGGAGGAATGCTAGGATTACAGTATTTCCAATTTGCAACTCAGTGAAATAATGAGTCTTGACAAGGAAGGATCATCAACGGCTGTTAAAAACATGTTAGCAGCCTAATGGGAAACCATATGATGGATGAATCAGGCTAACGACACCAGAATATATTGATGAATCTTAACATCATTAAAAGAGAGACAGATACTTTGTGCCTCCTGATGGGATGTATTGGGAAGTACATGGAATCACTTATAAGTATTTATACCTGCCAAGGTTATAAATCATACTGGTCTGATAGAAAGTAGTAGAATCCCCAAGACTATGGCCCTTAGTCACCCTTCAGGCCTATTATTGAGCTCATCACCCTCCAGCCTTAACTTTCAGCCAAACAATAAGCCTTATAAGGGAACATAAGGTATGCACTCCTTAGAACAATCAACCATACAAGATCAAAAGGGCAGTATTTGCTCTAGGATAAAACTCAGAAGCACAGAAAGGATGGAAAAGAAAGAAGTAGAAATAGAAAACACAGCAAAGAAGTGGAAATAGTGCTTTGAAATTATGGGAACTCCAATCAGCATCACAAAACAAAACATGTATGAATTGTTGAATGAAAAACCAGTATGTTCTGTAAACTTACACACACATCACAATGAAAAGTTAGGAAAAAATTTGCATCCTTGAAAACACTATGGGGCAGTTACACTCTGTCCCATTTTTGTTACTAAGTACATTCGAGTTGGTTCTGACTCACAGCGACCCTGCACAGGGTTTCTGAGTAAAGGCTGGTGAGTTTGAATCACCAACCTTGCAGTTCAACCGACCATATGGCTGAGTGTTTATCCTACAATGCTATATACCAGGACTCTTCTGTACCATAGGGTGGCTATTATTGGAACTCACAAGACAGCACACAATATCACATAAACAACATATCTGTTGATGCAATCCCATTTGGAATAGGGGTTTCTCTTTTTATGTTAATGAAATCAACTCAGTGTTGTTGGGAAGTGCCCTTGAATAGGTTCCGACTCATGGTGACCCTGTATAGTTTCCAAGGAGTGGCTGCTGAGTTTACACTGCCAACCATGCAGTTCATATCAACCTTGCTTATCCTACAAGGCCACCCCAGGACTCCAAGTGTAGATGTGTCTTAAACCAATCACTTTAGATTAGAGTATCCTATACTCACCCTACCCAATGACGATGGTATATAGAAGAAAACCCCCCCTTCTTTATTTAGAAGGCTGTGGGAGAAACAGTGCTCAGGAATCAACCAATTGTTTGTTTGAACAAGAAGGTGTTAAATGAAATAAAACATAGTAGTGTGGTTGACAAAATGGCAGCTTCAGTCCAGTGGACAATGTCCCTAAAACTTGTCTTTACTCAAACCTAAGTTTCTTGTAAATCAGGCCACCCTCATTAGATTCTGACATCTCTTTTACTGTAACTGACCAATGAAATCTAACAGCATTTCAACAGTAAATTATGTAAGCCCATTAGAAATAAACTTTTGTTTCTGCATTTTGTCAATATAAGCCAATCACTGCTGTTAGTGGAGTACCTTTCCACATGTGACTTGGTGCTACTCAATTCTCTAGTCTTTTACCTAAATAAATCTCCTTTAAGAGATTAACTATATTACCAACTCAGTTGCTTTTGACAAAGTCAAAGAGGGCTTTTATTGAAAAAGTTGCGCTTTGTGAAAAGGGCCACAGGTGTCTGTTTGCACAGGTGGTGTACTGTACAACTTTAGCTCTATGTGAATTACGCCCCTTTGAATTGTGCAGTGCTCAACTGTACAAGTGATTTGTGAATCTCTCCTCAAATTTGCTAGGCCCACAACTACACATACAGCTGCACAGAACAGTTGGCTGTAGTTTTTTTAAGGAGAGAAGGGAGCTACCTCATATATTTCTACTCATTTCAACCTTTTCGTTCCATTAGCCAGTGAGATTCAGTTTCTTTGTTGCCTTTGACTGTTTCTGTACATGGAGTCAGTCGGCCAGAAATGTCAGACTCACTCCCTGCTTTGTATTTTTGCTCCATTTTCAGTCAGTCCGCAGATGTTTATCTTGTTTGGGGTCTAAGTCAGTTTTTATTTTCTTCATCTTATATTTTATGGATTATTGTTGTCTTTGGAGCTAAAGATATGCATCTTCCTTTCAAGTATGAAATTTATGACACCATATCCAAAAGCCTAGACTTCCAGTGAATTTTCAAAGATTCAAAATGTCATCCTTGCATAGGAATATTTTAAAGCCAACTGAAAGATATAATTTTTTAAAAGCAAGTTATCCTTTTTTATATCAGTATAGTATCTAGTCATACAAACTGGTTGTTAATACAGGTTCAGGAAAATTCACTATTCAAAAATCTGATTACAGTTTCTGCCATTATTCAAATTGTAGACAGATGTCTCAAAATCTACATTGACTAAAGCATCACAAGGGTAAATACCCTTTTATGTGAATCTAAAACACCAGAAAGGAGCCCTGGTGATGTAGTGATTTAAACATTGAGTTGCTAACTGCAAGGTCGGTGGTTCAAATCCACCAGCCACTTGCTCCAAGGGAGAAAGATGAGGGTGTCCTCTACTATAAATATTTAGTCTTGGAAACCCTATGGAGCAGTTCTATTCTGTTCTACAGGGTTGCTATGAGTCAGAATCGATTAGAGAACAGTGAGTTTGGTTTTTATGTTTAGAAGACAAGAACCAAACTAGAAAAAAAAAAAAAAAATTCAGCCATAATAACAAATGAAAGACCCTTTGGTATTTGCTATCATAATTTTTTAAATATGGCAAATCTCACATAAAAAATGTCCCATGCTAAATTAAAAATGTATCCAATACTTTATGCAAGCCACGCAAGGTGAGATTTAATCTCCTGCTATCTGCATCATCCAATACTTCTACCACCACTACTGAGTCCTGGTGTGGCACTGTATGCTAAGCACTGGACCTCAAGGTCAGCTTGAACCTCAAGGTTGGCAGTTCAAACTCACCATCTGCCCCTTGGAAAACCTATACAGGGTCGCTATCAGTTGGAACTGACTCAACGGCACTTTACAACAACTACAACAATACTTCTAAGTAACACAATCTTTAGACTTCTTAGATTTATATCATTGTAAAACTTGTTTGTACATTTTCACTTAATCCTATGCATAGCTATAATCATAGTAGTGGTTGTTGTTAAGTGCCATTGAATTGGTTCCAATTCATAGTGCCCCTACATAGGGTTTCCGAGGAGCAGCTGGTAAATTTGAACCTCCAATCTATGGTTCAAACTGGCCTTGCAGTCCAGTGCTATTCTATGGTGCCACACCAGGACATCATAGTAGTAGTAGCTATCATTCTATTTTTGTTTTACATATATTATTGTATTTAAATCTTCATTACCATTCTATTTAAGGAGCTCTAGTTATGTAGTGGTTATGAGTTGGGCAGCTAACCTCAAGGTCAGCAATTAGAAACTACCAGCGCCCTGGGAGAAAGATGAGGCTTTCTGTTTCCATAAAGATGAACAGCAGGGTCATTATAAGTCGGAACAGACTCCATGGCACACCGCCACCACCACTCTATTTGGAGTCCTGGTGTGGTGGTGCAGGATCAGCACTGGACTACAGGCCAGTATGAACCACAAGTTTGGTAGTTCAAACCCACCAGCCGCTCCTCAGAAACTCTATACAGGATAGCACTTAACCACCACCACCACTCTACTATTAATTCCATATTTAAAAATAAATAAAGTAAACTTGAAATGTAATTAATCATTTTGAAAAAAACAAACAAACCAGGATACCTGAATGTGTAGTAAAGAACTTAGCCTTGTCACAGACAAGGTAATCTCTAGGTCCTTGGAATATTCCACACATAGGAGTGTCTTTGTTTGCATAGAAGCTTTGGTTCATAACAGATACTCTAACAGTTTAACCTCCAGAAAGGCTGGAGACTGAAATCAGCCCTGTGAGCAGTCAACTGTGTCTGTATGATGGAGTACTCAAAACAATTCTGGATACCAAGGCTCAAGTGAGATTCTTTAATTGGTAACACTTCATGCATAGAGTTCTGGTGTGGCACTGTAGAATAAGCACTGGACTATAGGGTCGTTTGAATTGCAAAGTCGGCAGTTCAAATTCACCAGCCACTCCTCGGCAACCCTATACAGGGTTGCTATGAGTTGGAACTGACTCGAGTGCAGTTAAGAACAACATACATACTGTTAAAGGAAAGTACACTGTCCATGACACCACAAGGAGAGGACAACTGGACACCACTTTGTGCATGTAAACTTCTGGGTCTCCTGTCCTATGTATCTCTTCCTTTGGCTGATTTTAATCTGTACACTTTAGCTATAATAAACCAAAATTCTGAGTATAGCAGCTTTCAATATTATGTGAGTCCTTCTAGGGAATTATTAAAAATATTTGGATGATCTTAGAGATCTCCAAACTTATAGTCTTGCAGACTGTATCCCCTAACTTCACAATGGGCTAACAGAATATCTGAATAACGGAACAGCTGAATGTACCTGACCAAGAAGTTTAGCTTCCAAAATTATACAGTAATTTCAGTAATCTGATTTCTGAATACTGAAGACTAGAGGCAATAAGAGGAAGAAGAGCAAGAAAGTAGAATCTTTCTTTAGAAAAGAGTTTTTCTCTTTGCATATTATCTCTGGCCTCCTATCTTTCTTCAACTTTCAAATTATTTATTGAGTGCTTACTATATACAAGGCACTTAGCAAAGCCCTGTACAGAAACAAAGATGAGTGGAATATACTACTTGTGCCCTTAAGCACTGCCAGTTAACGCGGTAAACTGCAAAGTCGGTTTGAGCCGTAAAGGCCGGCAGTTCTAACTCACCAGCTGCTCCTTAGAAACCCTGCACAGGGACTCTATACAGGGTTACTATGAGTTGGATCCTGACTTGACGGCACTTAGCAACAAGTCCTTAAGCATACCTATCCATTGATGTTCTGACCTCACTTTACTGTCACATCCCAACCTGCCTGTCTTAATTCACAAAATATTTCAAACTCCAAAATTTACAAACTCCAAAATTTTCTTCCTAACTCCCAAAACATCTTCCTACTATTTTTCATTTGGACTTGCCTTAGGTAATTCTTAAAAAATTTTTTTTGTTGTTGTTAATTTAGGGTAAATAAATTCATGCAATTATAAATAAGTAAAAACCATTTAACCTTATTAGTGACTAGCAAGTTGTTGTTATGTGCCATCAAGTCAGTTCCGACTCATAACAGGTTGTTGTTGTTGATTCCAACTCACAGTAACCCTATATAGGGTTTCTGAGGAGCAGCTGGTGAGTTTGAACTGCTGACCTTGTGGTTTAAACCAACCATGTGGTACAGTGCATTATCCCACAGCGCCATACCAGGGCTCCACAGGTTAGTGTGCCTTAAAGTTGGCTCATGGAGGTTACTCTGCTACTATTTGTCACAGCATCTTCCCTTCTTCCACAATTGATATACATGTTCCCTAAATGCTTCAGGTTTCACTAAACATGCCCCAAAGCCAGGACTGCAGTAGTTGTAGGTACTTGGTTCTATACTAATGAAAGGTTCTTGTTTTATGTTATTAAAAGTCAGTACTAACATAGTTAAAAGACTTCTAATGTGGCTGAATTATTGTAAAATTGATTTAAATATAATTTTTTCAAATGTTTCTATTTAATAATGAAGATAATTCTCTATTCTGTACAGAAGTAATCTGAAAACAGCAGTTATAATCACAATCATACCTGCATAGTCCTTCTTTTAGTTAATGTAACTTGAAAGTTTTTCCACTCCCAACGTTGCTCTACCACATGTGCAAAAACAACATGCCCATTTCCACAGGCTCCAGCGATTTGAGTACCATCAATTGACCAAGCAATATTAAAGATACTGCCAGTATTGGGCTTTTCTAAAGCATATGACCACTGTAGAAAGAGAAAGAAAACTTTATTTAATAAAAAATTAATAATTAAGCAAACTTTACATTGGGATATGTTATTATAGTAAGATAACTCTTTTAAGAATGTATATTTGGGAATTATTAAAATACTTTTAAATAATATTATACTGTCCTGAAACAGAACAGATATAAATTTTTAAGTAAATAGTAGAATAACTTAATACATTAAGTTATTAATTAAGCTATTAATATATTCCATATATTAATACAATATATGGAATCTCTCAAGAACTACAAAAAACACCATTTAAATTCACATTTTTTAAAAAAAGTAATAATAATGAAGAGGTAACCATGAATAATCTACAGAAATCACTAAGACATTACAATTCTTAAGGATCTTTATAGTACCTATACTTAAAACCTTCTGAATACCTTATTTCAAGAAAGTCACTGAAAATTGTACCAAACACACACTGTAACTATAACATCTCTGAAAACACAAACAAATGCAATGCAGTCAATTCCAACTCAAAGGGTTTTCAAACAGCTGATTTTTTTCAGATCTTTCTTCCGTGGTGCCTTTGGGTAGACTTAACCCTCCAACCTTGAAGTCACCAGTTGAGCATTTATTTTTTTGTACCACTCAGGGACTTTTAACCTCTCCTAGAACCTATTTTGAGTCCTCATGTGGCATTAGACTGTTAACCACAAGGATGGCAGTTCAAACTCACCAGCTGCTCCTCAGAAAACCCTATACAGGGTCACTATGAGTTGGAACCGACTCAATAGCACTTAACAACAATAACAGAACCTATTTATCTCTTTGGGAATGCTATCTAGAGATAAAAGTAAGCATCAACTAGCACAAAAAACATTCTGTGTGTTTGCATAAGAGAGTAAGAAAAAAAACAAATGTTCTGAAAAGTGACATATGAATTTTCTTTTGTTTTTCAGATGCAGCATACACATTTGCTACAAGAATGACTTTTTAAACAAAATGTATATATAGTATCTTTCGAGTCTTTCGATTTTACAGACTACATAGTTAAATCCTAATTTCTCTTGCTGTTGTTGGTCTTGGGTAGGTATTTACTTTTGTTTCCCCCCTTTCCCCCCAAAATATTATAAGCTGTGGGTTCATTTTGACAACAAATTTAGAGATAATACAAAAGGCTGAACCCCTGAGACAATAGTCCTAAGACTTGCTTTAGGCCTGGACTGAACTTACTCCTTTTCTTAACTTTCAGTCAAAAAGTAGAACTATAAGTGACCAACAATACCAGGGAGACACACACTCCTTAAAAACAATCAACTATTCAAGATCAAAAGGGCAAAATTTGGCTCAGAAGGCAGGAAGAAATAGGTAAGAGGAAGAATGGAAATGGAGAAAAAAAGGGAGAAAGTGAGAAGAATGCTGCTATATTATGGAGACTGCAATCATTGTTACAAAACAAAATGTGTATGAATTTGTTGAATGGAAAATCAATCCATTCTGGAAACTTTAATGCAATCACAACAAAAAGCTAAGAAAAGGAAAAATGTATCTGGATGAAACAATAAAAAGTAAAGAAAAACAGACAAAGGTTGATTAACTGACACTTGTATAAAACAAGACTTGTATGCTTAGCTTCTATGATGTTAGGGAAGCTTTCTTACAGCAACTCTTTGACTATTTTCTCTGTGCTTGTGGTCTTCTAGTCCTGGAATTCTGATTATCCATAAGTCATTCCTCTTCATGGTGTCCCACATAACGTTTAGGCTTTCTTCAGATGTTTTCTGATTGTTCTTCTAGCATACTAGGATTGACAGATTTCTCTTCAAGCTCACTGTTAGGGTCCGAGACCACCACCCAATAAGGAGACCAAGAGACAAAGATAATGCAAAAGCAGGCGGGCTTTATTCAAGCTAGCATGCTAGGGTC